GCGGGAAGAAATGACAGCCCCGCTGTGAAGGCCCCTCTCTCAGGCCCTCGGGCACAGCCCGGGATCTTCCACCTGCATCCCCAGCAGCCTGTGGTTTTGTTACTTTACATGGAGGAAGGGGTTTTGCACATGTGATGAAGGTTACTAATCAGTTGACTGAGTTCAGTTAAGGGGAGATTGATCTAAAGGTGGGCCAAGTTTAATCACAGAGCCCTTTAAAAGCAGAGGGTCCCCTGGCTATTAGGAGAAGAGAAAGTCAGAGATTCAAAGCGTGAGAGGGACCGACACAAGGAGGCTCCCCAGTGGAGCTGAGATGGGTGGGCCGTGGGGCAAGGACCTGAGGGCGGCCTCCAGGAGCTAACAGTGGTTCCCGGCAGACAGTCGAGAGGAAAACAGGGCTTCAGTCCTACCAGTCCTACAACCAACACCCCGAATAAGCAAAGAAATGGATTCCTCCCCAGAGCCTCCAGCTAAGGGCCCAGCCTGGCTGACACCTTGACTTTGGACCTGTGAGACCCTGAGCAGAGAACCCAGCTGAGCCATGCTGTACCCTGGCTTCTGATCTAAACAACTTGAGACAACATGTGGGTCTTGTTGTAAAACTATTTGTGGTCATTTGTTCTGCAGCAAAATAAAGCGACCACAGAGGCGCTGGGACATCTGTACTTCACTAAACTTCAGCGTTGGACCCCAGCAGACATTAAGTTATTTGGCCGAGCCACCACCCAGTTGAGGTCAGATGGGCTCTCACACTGGCCTCCTGTCTCTCTGCAAGGGCACTGGCTCAGGTAACACTGTGCTCCCAGCATACGACCACTCTCCCCGCGGGGATTCCCCACCCATGCCACTGCCCGCTGCCACATACAGAACTCCTCCAGGCTGACTTCCTCCACAGCATGGATGCCTGTGAGGTGGGCGACACGGCCCTGGACCCGGGTCCGCTTGTCCCCAGTGGTCTTCTCCACGCGCTCGATCATCTGCTGCTGGCGGTCGATCCAGTAGAGGTGCTTGCCGAGCACGGTCAGGCCCATGGGCTGCACGATGTTAGCGTCCTCCAGGGTCAGGCGGTTGGCCCCTGCAGCAGTACGAGGCCCCTGAGTGGCAGCTGACCTCAAGGGCATGACCCATGCTCAGCTTGGAGATTGGATGTGTAAAGAGAGGGCCGCCAGGGAGCTTGGGGATTCTACACCCTGGCCAGGACTGAGAGCCGGGGCAGATTCCCTGGAATCAGGCAGGTCTGGGACAAGCCCTGGAACAGCACTGCTCGCACCTGGGCTGGCCTCAGGATCAGGGCCACAGGCTTCAATCATGGTCACTGGCCCCTGCAAGCACAGTGCCTCCCCTCCCCCACCCACCCCAACGTAGAGAAGAAAAGCCACAGGGACGTGAGCCTCCTCTGAGCACCAACTCTCGCTTCTCTCCAGCCCAGGGGCCTCCTGGTCTAAGGAGGCCCACAGCAGAGCAGCTGCTAGCATGGGCACTGGGGGCAGAGGCCAAAGTGGACTGCTGCTCCATCCCCCTGCTATGGGACCCTGAGCAGCTTGCTCACCCTCCCTGAGCCTCATCACACCTCTGCCATGTGGCACCCACTTGTGCCCCAAATCCTGGAACTCACGGGGTCAGGATTACAAATGATACACACAAAGCTCCCAGTACAGTGCCAGGCTGGTAGCAGCAAGGACTATGGGCTGCCAAGGGGCCCAGTGCCTGGGCATCCCGGGACAGGTACCTGACAGGTCACAGCTTTCAATGCGCTTCAAGTCTGCATCCACCCAGAAGAGCTTGCCCAGTGCATTGTCCACCACGAGGGCCACAGGGCGGATGAGGCCCGTGGTAAAGAGGACCTCGCGCTCGGTGCCGTCCAGAGCCGCACGCTCGATCTTGGCAGCGCGGTCCTGCATGTTGGTGAAATACAGGTACCTGCGGCGGGGGGGGGGGGG